GAGAGAGAGAGAGAGAGAGAGAGAGAGAGACGGGTACCTTGAATCGAATAAGAAAAGGACAGGTTCCCTTTGACAGGGAGCCCTACAAGGCGAGGAGCCTTAGGAAAAAATGGCTTATAGCAGGAGGCTCCATTTACAGTGGCAAGACTGCTCAGGTCACCCATGCTGCAAAGAGAGAGAATTGCAGAGTGAAAACAACCTTAGAGAGAGTTAATATACAGCAAATACTCCCTAGAGAGCGAATTACCTAATCTTCCCACAGTAAAAAGTGTCTTATAAAACAAGTGTGATGAGTGGATTGGATTAAGCTATAGGGTGTGGTTTCCTTAAAGTTGCGACCACCATCAAATTTTATCATAATATATAATTTTGATGTAAAATGTTTTTAGGATTGTTTCAAAATCAATTTTTATACCTAATTATAAAATTTAAAATTTTAAAAATAGTTAAAATCAAGTAGATCTATAAACGTACGAAAATCTTGAAAATAGACAGTGTAGATAGAATATTGTAAGATGCACTATTTTTGAGACTCAAAATCGTTTTATTTTTCATTGTCATACGTCTCGATATCGAGATGATCAATCGTAAGGTTTTTCAATATTAAAATAACATTTTCTGATGGATTTTTTAGGTGCATCCGTAGTTTTACATTTTAAGGTTGCAACTTTATATAAACTTTTTCTTAAGCTACTTATAGTATATCTCTCTTTATTAAGGTAACTAACAAATGTTCATATCTCTCTTGGGGATGCTCAAAATCTTCTGTTTTGCTATTTTTTTCTCTCCTCTTGTCTGTAAAAGTAAAGTGCACCTCAAAAATCTTCTAGAAAATAATATTTTTAGAGTTGGAAAACCTTTCGATTGATCATCTCGATCCCGATATATATGAATATAAATATAAAAGAAAACGATAATTTCAAGTCCTAAATGAGTGTATCTCATAACGACTTTATCTGGACCGTTATTTTAAAATTTTCAAATTTTTATAGATCTACTCGATCTCTGTTGTTTTAAATATTTAAATTTTATAACTAAGGCTGAACGTAGATTTTTAAACCTCTTACGTTTCTGATATCGAAACTACATATTCTAGCAAAATTTAGAGGTGTGCTTACTTATACACAATAAAACAGCACCTTATAGTAACCTCACCTCACCCTACATTTATTTTAGAAAAATATATTTACATCTAGATTTATTGTATATGAGACACCAAAAACATATTCCGAATTTGAAATATTTAAATTTATAAATTTTCATCTAAAAATTAGGCAGCCTTGTTCTCAAAACAATTTTTCTTTTTCTTTTTCTCAGCCAGGCAATGCAGATAGATTGCAAATTTTGATTTGTTCATGTACAATATTGGGAAATTATTTTTTAGGTTATGCCAATAAAGATTGCAAAATTTGATTTGTTCATGTACAACCTTGGGAAATTATTGTCTAGGCACATAAAAAATTATGATTTCAGTACCTTGGCTAATTTAGATTAGTAGCTAAATTCAAGAAATTACATTTCCAAAATCTAGGGTCCTATAGGTTAAGTTTGCCTCAGGAAGTAAAAAGACAATATATGTTCTCATGAACATAAAATCTTTTCACTTTAAATACATGTCAAATAAAAACTCTCTCTCCATATAACAATAATCTATCCAAAGTCCTCTGTGAAACAACAAACTCTCTCTAAAACAACAAACTCTCTCCTCCCTCTATCTCTCACTATATTATTAAACAACAAATTCTCTATATATATTATAAGAGTAATGATCTCTATCTCCCTCTCTCTCCAAAGTCCAAACTTGTTATAACTATCATAACATTGGCAAGGCTCAAAACAAGGGTTTTCAAATTTTGAAGGAAGAGGGAAAAAATTATATAGTATTATTAATTTTCAATTATATTAGGTCCTATATTTTGTCTCTCTTTTTTTTTGTTTTTTGGGGCAAACAAAGTTTAAATGGAACCAATAAAGTTTTTTGAATTTTTTAAATGGAAAAAGTTTATATAAGGTTGACACCTTTAGGATTAAGATGCATTTCCAAAAAAAACAATTTAAATCATAAAAACAATTCATCTTGCAACACATTATCTGGACCCTCCATTTTCAAGATTTTTATATGTTTATAGATATGTCTGAATTTAACTTTTTTTGGAGTTTAGAATTTATAATTATAGATAAAAATAGATTCTTGCACCATCCTAAATTTTTAGGATAAAGTTTAAAGGTGCATCTTACTTTGATAGTTAAAGGTTGCGACCTTATGCAAATCATACCCTTTATTGAATTTGTTCATGAATAGGGTGGTCTAATACCACTATATTCAAACCACCCTATTTGTGCGGTAGTTTAAAAGTTGCACATTTGAACCGTCTCCGTCACAAATTTTTTTTATAGAACCAAGGCTCTAAACAATCAATTAAGAGCTCATCTCAAAAAATTTACTAGAAGATGTTGTTTTGATGCCCAAATATCATCAAATTGACTATCTAGGCATCAAGATACATAAACTTGATAAAAAAAATGAATTTCAAGTTTTGAAAATAAGTTATTTTGTGATGCATTTTTTTACGGTCAATTTTCAAGATTTTCAAATTAGATTGATCGATCTAGAGTCAGCTCTATGCAAACGGCACCCTTTACTAATAAAGATGTTGTTTATTTGCTAGAAGAACATTTTGTTTTCTACAAGAAATTACATTCATCCATATGGCCATCGGATTTAAAATCTAACATCCCAGGGTGTATAACAAACAATGCGTCTTTTCTATTTTTTTTCACGAAGCCCGATCAGTGGGACACCCTCCACCACCCGATTTCACATCAAACGGCAATGATGGATTGTGAACTCTTTGAACCAACGGTAAATAGCGCTATTATAGACTAAGCTCTGCAAGCTTCTTTCTCCCTCGGAATTTCTTATTTTATTTCACACCTCTCTCTCTCTCTCTCTCTCTCTCTCTCTCTCTGTAAGTACGTACGGGAACGGAAGTAAGTAAGAAGACGAAGACGAGACGCTCTCTCTCTCTCTTACGTTACTACGTAACGGTAACGGTAACG